TAGAGCTATTTATGTTTTAAGTGCTATAAGTCACATACTATTGGAGAACAACTATGATGCCATCTACTCCTATTGGTACATTAAAATTCCTCTTTCTAATATACTCTGCTCTCTAGGTGATATGCTAACATATGTGCAGTGAGAATATGCAAAGAGAAATGGGCCTCAACCTTCGAAATTGCTCCAGCCCAAGAGGGAGCTGGAAATTGTGTGGATAAGAGAAACCTACTGCTACTTGATGATAAGAAGCATCATTCTTTCTCTTCTCAGACCGTAAAGACCTTCCAATGTACGGACTGAGGCACTTTACTATTCTCTTGCCCACCTTCCCTTCCACTGGTAGTAGTGACTCCAGTACTAGGCTGTCAAGAAATTTCAGCCTCTTTCCCTTGCCTCAATGTTGCTTCAGTGCTACAAGATATTTCTGGCAATGGGCAGCAGTGACTGTATTGTTTTAAGTGACAGTTCAACCTTTATCTCTTGACCCACTCATAGGAACCAACCTATTTGTAGTTGCAAAGGAATGAGGTATTACTGCTTTCTTCTCAAGGAACTGAAGTCATGCCAGTATCACCTGGGCTCATCCAGCATCAGGAAGGTATATATGTTGAAAGAAAATTCCAATGTTTTTATCGTCATCTTTCGCTCCTGGTATGAAGGAACAGATTTGCTTAGCATGGTGACTGATAATTTCAGAGGTATCCAAAGCCATTTTAGGTAAGAGGTAAATTAAGGTGACCATGCCACATTGCATAACCAAAGAGTGGGGAATTGTAAGGGCCATTTTGGCAACAGGAACAGGTAACACAATGCCTGTAAATGTTAATGCTCAATGTATATCTATTGAATGTACAGTGGCCGCTAAATTTTGGGGATAAAACCATCAAGAAAGGCATGGTCCTTTCTGAGTCTGGTAGGAATAAGACAGTTGTGATACCTGTTGTGGATTGATTGAATTGTCTCCTCAGAGTTTAGATATTAGAACCTTAATTCCCACTGTAACTGTTGAGGGTGGGAAATCCTACTATGGTACCGTAGACTTGTTCTCCCACGCAACCTCACTGAAGCTTAAATTCCCATTGTAATTGTTGAGGGTGGGAAATTCTATTTTGGTAATTGGAAGGTGGCAATCAAGAAAGGCATGGTCCTTTCTGAGTCTGGTAGGAATAAGACAGTTGTGATACCTGTTGTGGATTGATTGAATTGTCTCCTCAGAGTTTAGATATTAGAACCTTAATTCCCACTGTAACTGTTGAGGGTGGGAAATCCTACTATGGTACCGTAGACTTGTTCTCCCACGCAACCTCACTGAAGCTTAAATTCCCATTGTAATTGTTGAGGGTGGGAAATTCTATTTTGGTAATTGGAAGGTGGCACCTTGAAGAAGTGATTAGATTGTAGGACCATGCCATAGTGAATGGATTAAAAATGGTGGTCAGGGGTGAGGTTCTGAGGGCTTTAAAAGAAGAGCACAGGAGAGGTTAGTGTCTCTTTGCTCTGCCATTTTCTGACATGTGAGACTCTTGGTTCACTGTCACCACCACCAAGGCTTTCACCAAACGTGTTCCCTGGGCTTTAGACTTCCCAGGCTCTGAAACTGTAAGCAATAAATTTCATTTTCTTATAAATTACCCAGTTCCAGATATTCTGTTGTAAGTAACAGAAATGGACTAATATATAAAATTGGTACAGGACTGGGGTCAGAGTTGCAGCAGAGAAACCCCATCAAGCACCATGCCTAGTAAAGCCATGAGAATGGGCCTGCCATGGAGACTCCAGACCTGTGCAGCTACCAGCATGCAGTACCAGCCTACAAGAACTGAAGCACCACCTAGGACCAGGAAAGCCATAGAATCAGAGCTGCCTGACGACTTGGGGACCCAACCCCTACACCATCTTGCACAGGACATCCAACATGAAGTCAAGGTACATGATTCATCAGATATGGATTTAATGCCTGCCCTGCTGGTTTTCAGACTTGTTTGGGACCTATTACAACTTCCTTTTGGCCTATTTCTCCCTTTTTGAATGGGAATATGTACCCTATGCTTGTCTCACCACTGTATCTTGGAAGTAGATAACTTGTTTTGAATTCACAGATAGGACTTTGAACTTTGGACTTTTAAGTTGAAACAAGTTAAGGCTTTTGGGATGAAAGAAATGTATTTGTACATGAAAAGAACATGAGCTTTGGGGGGTTAGGGGCAGAGTGCTGAAGACTGGATCCCTCCAGACCTCATTGAAGCTTAAATCCCCAATGTAACTCTTGAGGGTGGGAAATCCTATTATGGCAATTGAAAGATGGGGTCTTGAAGAGGTGATTAGATTGTAAGGCTATCCTGTAGTGAATGTATTAATAATGGTGGCCAGGGCTGTGGCCCTGAGGGCTTTAAAAGAAGAGCACATGAGAGGTTAGTGTCTCTCTGCTCTGCCATTTTCTGTCATGTGAGACCCCTTGGTCACTGTTGCCACCACCAAGCCCCGCACCAGCTGTGTTCTCTGGACTTTGGACTTCCCAGCTTCTGAAACTGTAAGAAATAGATTTTGTTTTCTTATAAATCACCCAGTTCCAGGTATTTTGTTATAAGCAACAGAAATGGACCAATACAATACCTATAGCAAAGAGAGCATGTAAGCAACCCCAGCCCCTTGCATAAGAAATGTAAGGAAGGCAGAATAATTTGGGAGTGCAGTCATTCTGCTCATGAAGAATCAGTGATGTTGTTGTGGATACTGTTTTTGTTGTTCACACCTCTTAGTTGATTTTCCTCTGATGTTGCAGTCTTTGAGTACATGCATAATTAGTCAGAAAAAGTGGTATTTTCTGGTTGTGTTTGTATTTGTAAACTTATTTTATAAGATTCAATTTAATTTTCAAAGAAAATGAGGTGAAGTGGTATATTTTCCCTTAAAAGACGCTGGGGGAAAAAAGACACATGACATATTAGCCAACATTTAATAAATTTAATAAATTAATAGGAAGTATCACAAAAACCTGGAGTGGATAACATACAGGAATCAGGAATAAGACAACACTTCACAACCATTCACAAAAAGTACCATTGGACAAAGGAGAAGAATTACAGGAAATAATATAAGGCAGTCTGTTGCACGTGTCTTAAACAGATATATAATAGAACATCAAAATGATTTGTGTGACAGTAAATTCACCACGTTTACATTTATCACATGGACGTTTTTAAAACATTTATAAAAGTTTGTAGATTTAACACTGAACTGTAAGATTTATATCCAAATGAGTATATTTGTTTCATACCAAACTGCACAGACTTATGAATAGCACACAATTTGAGGATAATTACTGTGTTGGGTACTATTAAGTACAACTACTTGATGACATAAGAATTACTAACAAATGTGCTGTAAGCTATTCTCATTCAACTTATTGCTAGTGCTTTTGGAAATCTGTGGTTTATATTTTATTTCTTTGTAAAACATGTGCTATGAGCTTGCCCTGATAGTTAAGAAAAAAAATCAGATGTTTCCAATTTTCTCTAATACTCACAATCTTTCAGATCTGAATGCATGATCTTTTTAAGGACTGCTGAAGGATTTTCTGCAGTCCTTTTTATATCAACTACTCTGCCCTACATTAATACAAATCGATGGATTCATGCAACATACATGGCATACATGCAGGGCACCATCTGTATGTGCAGAACTCATGCTAAATGCATGCTGTGTTTCTTCAGACATTTTCATTTCAGTAAGAATTAGATCATCTTATTTGATTTCAAATAGTTGTTTTAACATGCAGTTCGACAGACCTAACAGGCAGGTAGACTTTACTTTCATGTTATATTTGGGCATGCTCAGGCAATTGAGTGACATTTGGCAGTGCTGTAAATCAAGTAGAGACTGTATGAGTTTCCTCAAATACAGCGGCTCTCCCACTGCCCCTGTGGCAGACTATTGGATTTATCTATGCTGTGTGTTGAGGACACAGACCAGGGGGTTTAGAAATTCAGATTCTGCATTCGCCAATTTCAGAACACTGAGAGGCACCCTCCCAGGTGTGTAAGTAACTGTCAGGCAGAAGAAATAGCATCATGAATTCGTCGGAAATTTATCCACAGTTGTGTGAAATGGACACACATGGAAATACTTGTACAATTACTGGAAACACTTGTATACTCTGCACACAGCATAGACTTAATGGTCTGACTTCAGCAATGCTTGAAAACCTTTTATGGTTTACAAACTATTAAAATAGTACTGAATTCTTAGAGAGCAGCAGGCCCACGAATGAAATGATGGCCAACATTTATTGTAACACAACACTGTATTTTAACAAAGATTTAAACTTCTGGTACATAATTGCAGAACAATGAAGAGCTTGCCACTTTCACAAGTTAGCTGCAGCCTTTTCCTGCACTAGAGAGTTTGGAAGGATCTGAAAATGAGATAAATTTTGTTTAAAATCCAAATGGAAACTCTGTATCTCTGTTATTCCCAGAGTTCAGTAAAACTGTCTTTTTAATTACTTTTTTTTCACATTCTAAGGGCCTAATTCTGTAGTCCTTAATCCAGTAAAACTTCCAAGGTTTCTATCATCTTTGCCTCTAATACAAGTTTTACTCAAAAATGGACTGCTAAATTAGGTCCTATAGATAGAGGTACCATAATTAAAAAAATATTTTAATAAGGCTCAAAATGCTAATTTCACTTTGTGTGTAGCACACCAATTTCCAGGATTCTGAGATCAAAACCCAATTGATGTTCAATCCTGGATTGGGAAATAACTCTGGGATCTCATTTCCCAGTTTAATCATAGAATTAGGTATTTACTAAGACCAGAATGAAAACACTAATTCCTGTTTGCTTGTCATAATAATCAGAATTTGAACATTGTCCTTAAGAAGTGAAAAGGTATTTGGTGTATATATCTCTTATTATCCTTCCACTTCTGTAGTCCTGGTTAACCAGCTGCTATGTAAAAATACCACGATGTTTGGGGACAGACATTGCAGCAAAATACCAACACAACATTCTGACAATGTCAAATTTTGCCCCATGTGTAACAACAAGGTTAAGTTCTGCCTTTGACTCACTGATAGATGGATGTATCAGAAGACAGAACCTATCTTATTGTGTTTATGTGTGTGGATGAGCAGAGCAAGAATTTAAAGCATATATTTACTGTTAACCTGGAAAAAGAGTCCACTGACTTTGTTCATTTTGGTGTGGTTGGAATATAACCACTGTCATGTGCATCATTCTGGTCTCCTGCAAATGCCACCTGAGAGGAACATCAACATTTCCATGTGCCCCAAAGAAAGAAAGAGAAAGGAAAGAGAGGAAAGAAGGAAGGAGGGAAGGAAGGGAGGGAAAGGCAAAATAAACATTTTATTCATTAATGAATCAAAATAAGTTAGTCTCCATATATTATAAACAGTAAATATAGAACCCTAAATCTCACTATTGTATGCATGATTGTAAAGTACAGAGTTGCAAAGCTATATATAAAAACACTTTGTTCAGACAGCAATATTTACATTAGTTATGACCAACAGAAAAATTAAAGAAGAAAATTTTCCTACACCTGTAGCTTTACTGTAGGAAAAGACTGTGCTACTCTTTCTTACACACTACTGATTCTTTCACTAACCACACTGGAGGGATTTACTGGTATCTCCAAATTCTCAACTTGCATTTCTATACCGGGCTCAACGTCATCAGCTTTCTTAATTACCGGTTCATTGGTATGCCGATAAATGTTAACATTAAGCTCTCTCCCAGACAAAGCAGTGGCGGCAACTCTTGGAATCTGTCTGACAGGAGGCTTTTTGTCTGCCTTATAATTGCAGCGCAAATAGTTGGAGAAAGCCCTTCGGTAAATTTTGTTGAAGAGAGTGTACACCAGAGGATTAATTCCTGAACACACATAGCCAATCCACACAAACACATTCAGAAGCTTTTCCATGAGCTTTTGGTTACAGGACTTCCCACAAAGAACTGACAGAATATTAGTAATGAAAAATGGGCACCACATGATCAGAAACACAAAGAAAACAATGCCAAGAACTTTCGAAGCTTTCTTTTCGTTGTTGATAGCCTGCATGGTGCCCCTAGGACGCCTGTCTTTCTTCTTTCTTCGGCGGGCGTTCAGATCTTGGTTAGGGTTTGCAGAGTTCTCTTCATCGGCAGTATACCCCTTGCAGCACTTCAGGAAATCCAGGTTTATTCCAGGCGGTTCCTCCGTGTGGCCCTGCAGTAACATCAATGCTTGCCTGCGAAGAACGTAGATCGTCAGGAAGTACGTGATCACCATGATCGTCAGCGGTATGAAGAAAGCTACGAACGACCCAATAAGAACGAAGTTTGGGTCGTTGAGCACGCACGTAGTGTTGTTCACGAACACTTTGTCTTCGTCCCTCAGTCCAATCACGGGGATAGGAACTGATACACCTAAAGGCATAAAAAAGGTAGACGTTGTTACAGCCTACTGAAAGACAGAAGGGATTTGTACAATGGTATATACTCATTTGCATTTTACTGAAATTCAGACCTAATGTTTGTTGAATGCTGTTCACGGCATAATTGATAGACACTTGAAACAGTAGCAGTATGATATCGTGTTAGGAACGACTTCTTTCTAAATTTCTGTAGAAGGCATGTTATTAGCATTATCAAGATAAACTATTAGTGCTGTGGTTGTCTAAGAGTGGATTGTGTCCGTTTTGTTGTATTTCCAGTTCCTAGAACTGTCCTGGCTCATAGATAGCACTCAATAAATATTTGTTGACTCAATGAATAAATTCACATCTGTACTCAATGACATTAGTAAAGCCAGCCCTTCTTTTTCTTTTTTTTTTTTAAGCATACAAGCTTCCAAACTAAATAAAAAATAATATGTATGCCACCTATAATAGTGATAATAATAATAGCTTATCAGGGTTGGCTGGGCTGAGCCTGACCACTCTGCAGAAATATACTATAAGCTGGGGCCGGCCTGGTGGCGCACTGCTACAGTGCACTGCTTGGGAGTGCGGTGGCGCTCCTGCCGAGGGTTCGGATCCCACATACAGCCCGGTTCCCGGTCACTGGCTGAGCGAGGTGCGGGAGCAACACCGAGGGTTGCGATCCCGTTGCCAGTCCCGGTCCAGTACGGGCATGACACTGGGGGTTGCGATCCGTTGCCGGACACGAAAAAAGACAAAAAGGAAAAAAAAAAAAAAAAAAGAAATATACTATAAGCTGGGGCCGGCCTGGTGGCGCACTGCTACAGTGCACTGCTTGGGAGTGCGGTGGCGCTCCTGCCGAGGGTTCGGATCCCACATACAGCCCGGTTCCCGGTCACTGGCTGAGCGAGGTGCGGGAGCAACACCGAGGGTTGCGATCCCGTTGCCAGTCCCGGTCCAGTACGGGCATGACACTGGGGGTTGCGATCCGTTGCCGGACACGAAAAAAGACAAAAAGGAAAAAAAAAAAAAAAGAAATATACTATAAGCAGAAACTGAAAGGGTTCTCTTTTTAGCAAGGGGTTTTTTTGTTCTGTTTTGTTTTGTTTTTGAGTCTCTGGGCATAAGCAATGTTGTTTCAAGGTCAAGAGACAGAGTGAAATGCAGAGTTGAGAGAGATGCAATCCTCCCATTTCTGTGCGAATTTTAAGCTTTTTTGGTTTTAAGAATACTGAAAGGTAGTACTCTAGGGAAGCACTTCTTTCAATAAACCGAGTCACAGCAGAAAACATCAAGGAGGACGTGGGAGGAGAAAGTGATCTTGTGCCTGAGCCTAAGTGAGAAACCTCCTGGAAACTGCGGTAGATCTTGAAGAGGTCCTGCATCAATAAGTAGGGATAACTTGCAAGTGAAATCCAAATTTAAACGTTAATTTATCCTCTGTTATATCCACAGGAAGTTGAAGCCTGGGAAAATTCAGATTACATTTGAGGGATTCTGTCAGACATTATTAGGGATTGCTGTTGAAAGGAGATAGAAACATGCTTCAGAGGTCATTGCTGAATTAAGAAATACACAAGGAACTATGATGAATCTGAAACTGAAAGTCCCTATGAGCTGTTTTAACACCCCAAGTTAGGCATAGAGTGTTTGGTTGGATGATGCAGAGGGAAAAAATGGTCAATGTTTCTTTCCTAGGGCCTGCTGAGGATGCTAATTGGCTTTTAATCTTTGGGAAGATACAAGAAAGAGAAAGTGTTTGGAAAAAGTGATCATTAAGCCTTCTTCCTCAGACACTGAATTTCTAAAATGACTTTTTGTAAGTGACAGTGTGAGAAGCAGCAACAGATGTGGATATTGGCCCATGCCTACCTACAACCTAAGCATGTCATTCAAGAAAGTAGGAAAGACTATGAAAACTAAGACACACTGCAGCGTGTCCTTAGGAAATGCATTGCTGGATCTTATGAAGAGATTTTTGAAATCTGTATGGAAAGAGTGATGAGTATGAGAAAGGAAAGAGAGAAGGTAATTTGTCACCAAGTTTGATGGAATGCTTACAAAAATTTCAACAGGCATTTGTGACTGTAGAGTGCAGCAGAACCACACAGTTGTATTGTAGAAAGCTACCAGCTTGTATTGTTAGAACCTTTATTCTAAAAGTTATGTTTAAGGTAATCTCCCGAAAGAGTGCAGATCAAGCTTGCCTAAAAGAAGTCAGTATCGGTTTACCCTTAATGAAATGATTTAGAGAAGGGTTAGGCTGTGAGAAGTTTTCTGGAGTTAAGAAAGCTAGTACGGGATTAAGAAAGGAGGGAAGGGTTTCTTAAAAAAATTTACAAGGGAAGAATTTAGAAGAAGAATCTATGAATTAAAAGAGATTTAGAAGACCTATCAAGTAATTATAATATGTAGACCTTCTTGGGATCTCAATGCAAACAAACAAATTTTTTAAAATACTTGTATTCATGACACAATTAGAAATTTGAACAATGTCTGGCCTTTTGATGATATTAGAAAATTATTACTCATTAATTGTTAGGTAAGATGTAGATATTGATATTTCTACATGAAAAATAGTTCTTATATTTTTCCATATACATACCAAAATGTTTATGGATGAAGTATTATGAGGTCTGGAGTTTATATGGGAGGGAGAAATGGATGGGAGTATGAATGGAACAAGACAGTCCATAAATTGATAAATCTTGGAGTGGGATGATGGGTCTTTATTAAAAAATTTTACTTTTGTAAACTTGGAAAGTCTCCATTTCTGAAAGCTTAATAATTTTTTAAAAAATCAAAGAAAAGAAAAAGAAGACATAGAGGTCCTTTCTGAAACAGATAATAATATTGCTATCAGACCCCAGATCCAGAAAGTCTCCAAGACCTACTGGCCACTGTTAACCTTGGAAATGATTACATCTGGAGCAAAAGCCTTGGACTCCTGTGTGGAAACTTACCACTTTGATATAACTGTAAAGAAGAAGTCCGTTTTCGTACAAAATGTTGGCAGAAAACTCTGTTATACCCTCCCAGGATTCTACAGTAACAGCAGCAGAGGGTACAGGGGAGGTGCTCCTCCCTGTAGTCTCCCATTTCTCAGCCCCAAGCAATGTGGGAACTAGAGACTGAGACTAGAAACTTGCTCTGGGGAATTTGCCTTCACTCTGGAGGCATCCTGACTGGGGTAGATGTACCTAGATGTGGAAATTCAGCTTCCCATGGGAAATGCTGTACAACCATCTAGGTATTTCTAGAGATACCTGTACCTGGAGTCTCTGGGGAAGGCCTCACACACTGGCCATAAAATCAGTGGAAGTCGGCATTACTCAGAGCACAGCTGTGGAGTAGTATTAGCTTGCTCTGTTAAAAGATTTATTCACTTTCCTAAGGGACTCTTGAGCCTAAAATGCCTTGTCAAGGGGACAACAAGGTTGGGTAGCAGAGTCATTATAGATGAGTTGAAGCTGCTATTGGATCTATGAGGACTGTTTTGTCCCTATCATCTATTTGTATAATTTTATGTACATTGGATAAAGGGTCATTCTAATAGCTGCCATTTATTGAGCCTATTTTATGGGCTAGGCACAGAGCCATGCATATTAATGACATTACGGATGTAAAATGTATTATCTCAATTTGGTTAAAAACCCTGTAAGACAGGTATTATTTGGTGAAGTAGCTTAACCACTTTACCAAATCTGTACCATCATTAGTTTCCTTTTGTTTTTAGAAACCATGAACGCAGTCAACTAAACAAGAAATCCAAATTCTTTTGATAGTATCAGGAAATTATAAATATTAATAATGACAACAGAAGCAGCATTAATAACAATATATATTGCACAGACTATCTTATTCCATACTTTAAAAAATTAAAAGGTAAGTGTCGGCAGTTTTCAAAATGTGGTTCAAGAACCCTGGACGCCTCTGAGTCTCTTTTAGAGAGTTTGCTATGTTTCTCTTTTCCAACTATTTGTCTTTAAAACTGCATTTTCTTCATAAACTTCTACCAAAACAACATATCACAACCTATATGAAATACCTACATGAATACCTATATGAGAATCCTGCTTTTTATTGAACTAGACATTAAAAGGATTATCAAAATGTAAAACAATGTCTGTCTTCTCTCTCATCTTTTTGAAATTTTGGTTTTCATAACAATATGTTATTTATGTTAACATTAAATGGGCTTATTATTGTTATTTAAAATGAAATGATTCATAAATATTTTAAATATTTTTCAGTTTTAATTTTCTAATACTATAAATATCAATAACTATAGCCCACATAAACAAAAGATCTTTGAAGTCCTCAATTATTTTGAAGAATATAAAGGGGTATTGACACCAGAGAGTTTGAGAACTGCTGTTCTGTGTTAATGGATGAAGTTACTTAAGCTCCAGAGAATTAAGTTCTGAAATGTGTAAAGTCTTCCTTAGCATTTTTAATTCAACCAATAGTAATTCATGCGATATTATGTCAGGTAAATATAAACAACAGCAGTACTAGCAACTTAAACACTTTAAATTCATTAAGCCATTCATTTTCATAAAAATTCTAAAAGGCACATGCTCTTTGGTGAAGTTAACTTCAGAAAAAGTAAGTTTAGCAAATATAACGGGGTGATCTTTGATATTTTCAAAATCCTTTGTTTGGCCAAGGAGGAAAAGTGGAAATGAACTACCATTGGAAAGATAAGGTGCCAATAACAACAATTGCAATAGTAATAACTACCTTCTACTAAGTGCTTCCTATTTGTCACACACTGGGTCAAGTATTTTGAAATTGTTGTATACTTTCATATATTATTTTATTTAATCCAGACAAAAAACATACAAGGAATTATTAGCTGGAATCATTTAATATTTCTGAGGTTAACTTCAATAAATCTATATCATTTTTCTTAGAATTTTAGAAACAACAAAGACAAGTTATAATTCACATTCTGCTGAAAATCTCAGGTACTACAACTAATAAAGAGTCAAATACTTTGCATGC